AAAAAAAAAAAAAGAATCATTGGATTCCGAGAAAAGGACTTGTTCAATATGATTCAATCAAAAGCTACTACACTTATAGAAATTATACGGTGTTCCTGGACTGATGTGTATTTTTGATCTGCAAACTGAACTGAATCTTAGGACCTGTATGCTCGCTTACCTGATGATTGCAAACATTGAGTTAAAATTCTTGCATTCCCTGCAGTGTAGTGCTATCTTGATGAAATGCTTAATGATCTTCATCCTCTTCAGCTGGTTTGTCTCTCTCAGAATTTCAGATGCTACCCAAAATGTTTCTTGGTTAATTACTTCTTCAAATTTCTTCAGGTTGGCACAGCTGGTTTTTGATTTGAGTTTAAATAAATCATCTATGTATTCAGTAGGTTCAATGTTACGGAAAAGTTCAAAATTCCGCATAGAGAGCTGTGTGGCCACTTCAACAGTACTGAGCTGCAGGAGGGAAATTTGACTCTCCCTCAACAGCTCCTGAGCATCTTCATCTGAACAAAGAGTTTCCGTCTCCATGTTGTTTTTCAAGTAATACCTGTGAAAAACACACAATTCTAAGCCTAAGCAGCAGTCTCATGACATTACTTGAAAGAATGATGCTACTTTGTAGACAACATTTGCAAGAACAGGCTGTGAGTGATGGAAGAATTCTCTTGTACAAGGACAGAGAATACAGCTGCTGCCCCAGTCACCAGCTCATAGAATCACCTATCAGGAAGTCACTGATGGGAGCTAATAAATCACATGTCATTTCATTTGTACCAGTTGTCATGTATTTTTCTCCTGCCCTTCCCTGATTTCCAGATTATTTTATGTATTTTTGCTAAAAGTGACAGAAAATAGCTCAATTTAAAATTTCAGTTTAAATAAGAAAACAGGCTCTAAGGAAGGCAGAAGAGATCAGACACAGGTCATCACCCTGTTTTCCTAGAGAGAGTCTGTAACTATTAATAGGTAAATGTGATCCAATTTGAACCAACTTATTCAAATACCAAAGAAACCTATAAGATATTCCCTTCTATCTGATACTATGAGTACAATAATGCCAAAATAGATTTTTTTTTATGTTTATTTATTTGGGGGGAGGGGGAGGAGGGGGAGGGGGAGAGAGAGGGAGACACAGAACCTGAAGCAGGCTCCAGGCTCTGAGCTGTCAGGCTGATGCAGGGCTCGAACTAATGAACCACGAGATCATGACCTGAGCCGAAGTTGGACGCTTAACCTACTGAGCCACCCAGGAGCCCTGATCTTTAACTTTTAAATATCTGGTTTTCACAAAAACCCTACAAGTAAGTGGGGCAGGTATTATTCTTGTCGGATGAGGAAACAGAGGCTCCCAAATATTAATGAGTAGTTACTATCAGTGACAGAGATGAGAACTCATTATTACTCCTTTCTCTTTGTAAACAACTTGTTGAAAATAGAATCCAGATGTTTGCCCTGTGGGGTTGTTTTTTTGGTTTAGTAGACAGATGTTTTCCTAAGCCAAATTCCATAAAGACAGAAGCAGAATGAGCCCAGTGGGAGTCTTGCCAAACTGGCCTTTTGCATCTTTCACCAAAGGGACCATGACGGAAAACACATACCTTGAGGCCTTCACATCCACAGATTGAACATTCCCAGTTTTGATTACTCATGAAGCCCATGACATGTATTCATATATAATTTTCTTGACTGTGAGCCATGAATCTGCACCTCAATGGAGATTTGTAGAACTCCATCATGGTTACAGATATAGCAATGTGCCTTCAAATGATAATGAGAAAAACTGATCTCCTAAAACAACACTAACTGCTGGTGTCAGGGTTGGAAATAAAGTAAAAGTGAAGAAGAGTAATAAAGTTGTAGTTGATAGCAAGAAAAAGGAAGTTTTGAATGAATTAAATCAGATTTATACTATGGAAAATTCAAGTACAAAAAGAACACTCCATCCAGCAAGAAAAAAAGAAAAAAAAATGTGATTTATGAAACTCCTTAATATTCAGTGAGTGCAGAATCTAGTCTTTAAATTAGAGCCAAAAGGTAACTGCTTTTTCAACTTTCACTAATTTGTGGTCTGAGGACACACATTACATATTATCAAGGGAAATTCAGGAGACCGACAAAATCAGGTACAATGTTACCCTGCAAGTAATATGTGATATAAGCACTTATGCAGCAGGAGACCAAGCTCTGAAGCAACCAAAAGTTTGTTCCAGAGCGAGGTATTTTTCACAGTGTAGCACACAATAAAAGGCAGCATTAGCCAGCCACATGGTCATTGATATCTCCATCTAAACAACTGCAGCTCCTAGAAAAGTTGAGTAGGCAGGAGAAATTGACAACAGAATATGATTTAAAAACATGTTTGTGAATGTACACATCCAGGAAAGAGAATCAGCATTAGCTCTGTGACTTCACCAGCCTGGTGTCCTACAGCCAGTGTAAGAAGTGACTGCCTGTGCCCTGACAGCCAATAACAATATTCAGGTCACAGTGCCCTCCTTTTCAAAAGGGTCTTAAGAGATCCTTGTGAGGGTCAGCAGTCTACTGGGTACATTTCCTTTGATTCACCAATTCTTGGAGAACGGGGTAAGTCTTCTTTCTCGTTTGCAGGGGTACTTACTCATTTTAAAAACCCTTTGAAAGTGTTCATCTCTTAGACTTTGGTGTGGGTTTGAAGAGGGGTTAAAGAAATCCAATAGGACAGATATATTGTATACCTTCCACTCAGCTGAATTCTATCAGCAAGTTTGGAAAGCTGATCTGGGAGTCTTCTTTGTTTGATTACACCCTCAGGTGTGACAGAGACCTCACACAGCGAATACTGATCCGGGGTGGCAGTCACAGCAAACTCCCTGATGGCCTGAATGACTACTTCCTTCGCTGTGGTGTCCTTACTGATCATGATGTATCGGCTTTGCTGATCAGCTTTAAAAACCCTTAACACTTGATCTGGCAAGTCTGGGGGAAAGAAAAGCCATATGTAAGTGGAAAGGATTTTTGCATATGGTAATACAATTAAGTGAAGTAATCAGGAAAACCTCCCTAGAAAAGATAAATGCTAAACTTGCATCTCTCCCTCGTTACAATCCTTCTTCAAAGATTCTATAAGTCAACATACTGATCTGCTGCATGAACATATTTTTCCCCACAGATACCTGAATGATCCACAAATACAAACATCAGTACACAGCAGCAGCACATAAAATTCTCAGGTTGGTAGCAAAAAAGGGAAAAATGTAAATCTAAAGTTCATCTTTATTATACTGAAAATCCCATTAAGCTAATCTAATATATTCCTCTTACTCTATTTATTTTACATGACCTAGTAATAACCGGCATGGTATGTGTTATTATTATGAAAGAGAAAACACGTTCAGAGATTAATTTGCCCAGGATCCTATCAAATTAGTCTGAAGAATAAGAAAGAACTGATTCCAGTGGTTTGAAATTTAAGGCTCATTCTGACTTGGAGCATTTGACACAATCCACGCCAAACCAAGAACATACAGCATTACCATATGTTAGAAGAAAACAGATTACTACAAGAAAACAAAAGCAGCACAGGCGATGCTCACCAGGAGTAGTACTGAAGTCTAAAATGCGATGATGTGACTGCAATAAATCGGGATTACTGGAGGACAAGGTTCCACTGACGGGCAATGCCGTTGGGATGTGCTTGGTCTGCCTTAATCCTACTATGCTGTCATCCTGAGACTGACCAATCCCAATATCACTGAACAAAGAGAAAAATTAGAGAATAAATGATCCACAAGTAAAAAGTTATAACCCATCAATATATAATAGACACAGACCATAAATAAAACATATTTGTATAAGAGCTCATTTAAAAGTACCATTAATAAATTTGGTTGAAAATTCAGTAGCAACTACTGCTTAAGTGTATCTAACTCAACTGATCTTGCTGTTTCTTAAGCATACGTCACTCTAAAACCTATGCCTCTTTCAGTAGACAAAGAATAATAGTACTCTCTCAGTATTTTCAAGAAAAGATAAGCTCTAGTTACTCCTGGAAATAGATTTAAGAATAAGCACATTAAAAAGAGTGTATTTAGTCTCACTCGACTGGTGATTTTTGTATCAGAATGATAAATTATTTTATAATCTGATCTTTAAGAACTGAAGAAACGGAGTAAAACAGAGGAGAAAAATCCAAACTGTCCTAATTTCATTCTCCAGTGTTTCAGAGAAATAAATGAGATCACTATGGAGTCAAATGTAAAGAAACCCTGACACCGGGATTGTTTCTTAATTATACAAAGCATAAAAAAGCAGGGGTCCATGGTAATATTTCTTAGCATCAAAGAAGAGGCAAAGGAAATTAATGACTCATTTTTTATTTTTAGTTCTCTACTCAAAATTTCTAGTTAGACATTTAAATTCCCAGAGAAATACTCTTATTACTGATAGCTACAAATTCATTTCCCTTTATAAAACGTGTTACTGTGGACAATTCTTAAAAACACGATTTAATAACATTTAAAAATTTCTAGACTTGAAGGGCACACTATTTCCAAAAAAGACTTTAAAATTAAAATAATAAACATGGACACATAAAAAACAACTAGATCATCAGCAAATGGTTATAGTTCTAATTTCTAGAAATTAGAAATGAAGAGAAAGAAAACTCTTTGGTTGGGTGTCCAAGGTGACATAAATAAAATTAAGACATTTAGCATCAGTTAGGTTCTCAGACATTAGAGCCTGATCATAATACCTACTATCTTTAATGGCTATGATAATTAAAAAATATATATAATAGCATTCTTTATTTTGTGGGGGGAATGGAAATTATAAAGTTAAAGAAACAAGGATAAGATATTTCTTTTAAAGTCGCCAAAAATTAAAGACGATTTTAGTGTAAATTCTTCCAAATTCATAGGTAAGTCCGTGACAAAATCCAATTTCCATTTAAACACATACAGGCATGCACATAAAGATGCGAAATATTAATGTTCTGCGAAACATTAAAACTTTCACATTAGAATTTCATTTCTCAACCACATAAAACCATCTTTACTGCCAATTATAATCCATGACATAAGACAACTATTATGGGCTCGGGCCAAAGATACAGAGCCAACCGGGTCACGGTGGCCACAAATGGCTAAAAACACTAGAACTGCCTTCTTAAGAAATGTTTCTCAGCAACATTTTAACACCTAAAATGAAGATCTAATAACTCTTGCCTATATATCTCTGTTATCCACAGACATGAGGATACTCTCTTGGATTGGAACTACTTTATAGTTAAGACTTAATTCAAAAAAGTCCCTCTCTGAGCATATCTATTGTTCGACCTCTCCAACTCTTCTCATGGTTACTGAAACTGTTTTTTAGCTTTTGTTGATTTTATAGTCTATTGACTCATTCTCTCTTTTCTCAGTATTCATCACTCTTTCTCTGCTTACCTGACAACCAGATCTGACTCCTATAATCCTCTTGCCTCACCCTTTTCTTCTCACCCTATTCACATCGCTCTCCCATACCTATCCTTGCCAGTTTGCCACCATCCAGCATCATAACTTCTGTAATACTGACAGTGTTAGGGGTGGGGAGGGAGGGACACAGCATATCTAGAAAATCTGCCTGATTGGCTAGTTTAATGGCCTTGTTAAAAAAAAAAAAAATCGTTGTAAAAATCTTTGATTTCTAGGAGAGCAAAATTTAGGTAGTAACTAGTATTAAGTCTATCATACCATATAATAGATCCTACAGTTTACTGAGCCTACTTAAAAAAAAAAAATTTAATGTTTATTTTTGAGAAAGAGGGAGAAAGAGACACAGCACAAGTGGGGGAAGGGGCAGAGAGAGAGGGAGATACAGAATCTGAAGCAGGCTCCAGGCTCGGAGCTGTCAGCCCAGAGCCTGACGCAGGGCTTGAACTTGTGAACCACGAGATCATGACCTGAGCCGAAGTCAGACACTTAACCAACTGAGCCACCCGGGTGCCCCAAGCCTGCTTTTAAATATAATTTTTTCATTTCAGTTGCATTATATACATGAATTATTTCAAATAATTTTTACAATAAAATACTTAAAATGAGACATACATTTCCTTTTAGGTTTACTTATTTCAAGAGAGACAGAGACAGTGCAAGTGGGAGAGGGGCAGAGACAGAGAGGGAGAGAGAGAATCCCAAGCAGGCTTCACTCTAGCTCGACTTGGGGCTTGAATTCACAAAACTGTGAGCTCATGACCGGAGCCAAAACCAAGACTCAGACACCAGCTTACATTTTCTTAAATACAAATTAAGATGTTTCCTCAGTGTTTAAAAATCAACACATCTTATTATCTTCTTTTCCCTTCTCTAGCTTTTGAGTATCTTTTTAAATACATATAAAACAAAATTATACATAATATTCTCATACTGTGTTCCTTGCCAATGTCTTGTAGTGTGGATGGCTTATATCCCAGTTCTTCCATGTCACATTTCTATTAATACTTGCCAGGGTCATGCTGACTTTTATTTGACTTTTTTTTAAGGTTCATGGTCCAATATGACTGTCAGATTGTGTTGTTGTTGTTATTGTGCTGCTAATAATTCTACATTTAAGTAATTCTTTTTGCCTATTTTATATTAAAATTTTTATCAAGAATGGTCATTTTAAAAATCAATTTCTATTTTCTGTAATGCTAACAGGCCTAATCCATCATTTGTTTAAAAATTACTCAATATAAACATGCTCTCAAGTCCATAAATAAATCATCATACTCATTGCTTATCCTTAGGACTCTATTGTAGAAGTCTTTTTAAACTGATACAAAACCACCAGTTATTATATTCAGTGGGGACAACACAAGTTTGACTCTCCCATCAATACTATATTTGGACCATATCTCTCCAATCTGTAGATAAAAATTTTTATCTGAAATGGAATTTAAGAAATGTTTGATGTAGTTCTGAATATCTACTGTTCCTCTAGAAGAGCCATTCAATTATCAAAGAAAGAAAATACCTACATGTTTTGCAACTTATCTATCATTGTAGCTTGAGGAATATGTAATAAATGCATTTGGTACATCAATGTTATTTAACATTAAAAAAAAAAACAACTTTGGCTAATGGTAATTGAATTTTATAAAAGATCTCTAGACTAAGAAGGAGCTAAAATGAAGAAATAACCAAGCAAACAGGCAAACAAGACTAAAAAAGTGTGACACCTATAACTTTGTCTAGTCTGAGCTCCTGGAATAAATAAGCAGCCAAGAAGAGATTCAACAATATACCTGACATTCTGACTGTCCAGGCAACTGGAAGGAAGGAAAGGAGTTCTGTGCTTGGTTGGTGATATCTTGGAAACAGTTAAATAAATGAAAACAGAGAGGAAAAAAGAAAATGGCAAGGATGAATAGTAGCAACCAAAAGAAGCAATGATTTGGTTGACAAAGGGCAGACAGTGATGGTAGACAAGATATCCAGAAACAAAGAAATGTAGCAAAAACAACTCCAAACCATGGGTGAAACATGAGCAAACACACATGCTTATTTTTTTTTTTTTTTTAAGTACAAATGATTAAAAAAAAAACAAAAAAACGAGGAGATGCTAAACTATCTCTAATAAAGCTTGGGTTGGGCAAGTAAGTGGCAAACATATGACTAATATTGCTTCTAAGACAGGTCAGCCATAAAACCTGAGAACATGTGTAAACATCAATTATATCACTACCTTTGCATATCATTTTAACACAATAAAATAACACACAGAAAATTCATACACTTACTTATATGGTTTCTGTGGCAAGATACTGATCCGAGTCTTGTCAAGTATCTTTTTTAGCTTGTTTCTTCCTCCAACAGTGTTAGCTTTACTTTTTTTATTTACTTTTTCAAGTCCTATCACCTGTTCTACATCTACAGCGAGATCTGGAATGGAGTAGCGACTGGCCTTTTTGATGTCTCCAATTTTAGGAAGGTGAGGGGCACCATTTCTTTTCTCTTCTGACAATCTTGTTAGCAGTTCTTTAAATACTAAAATGGAAATAAACACCATAAAACACCCATTATAATAAATCCAAACAATTCAAAGGAAATTGTAGGACTCAGGAACAGGTGACAAGTGTATACTTCGACTATCAAAACTGTAATCCCATGGAAAAATACTACTCCAATGAATGACAAGAATCTTCTTTGTTGTGTTGCTCTGTCACTTCCATTCACACTAAGTTAAATACACTCTTTAAATCTCTAGGTATTTAAAAATAATAGGTATTTAAACATTTATCAATAAAAATAATCTTTATGGTCCTCAAGTTAGATTTTTAGATCTACATACATGCTTACATAATTATCTGTATCTATGCATTTTACTGTAAATATTTTGATTCTTATATTTGAAATATTACTTATAAAAATGACTTTTTTCATGATTAAGACACAAATGTGGGGAAAAAAAAGACCAAAAGTAGACAGATTAAAGTATGCAAAAATACTTACCAAATAAATTGGTTTTCACAGTGATTGATAAATGTGTGTTATTTCTGAGAATTTCCATGGCTTTTGACAGCTGAATATTTTCAAAGTTTTGCCCATTTACTTCTAATATCTAAAAAATAAAATTATGAAATTCATTTCAGTATCCCAACTGATTGAAGACAAAAGGCACCAATAATCACTCTTCAGTTTGGATTTAGAAATATACCTGATCCCCTCGTTTCAAGCCTGCTTCGGTTGCTTTGCTACCTGAATCTACACTGTCAACAAAGATTCCAAATCCCTTCTCTGAGCCACCAAGTAAGATAAAAGGCAGAGGAGCTTCTCGGGATGGTTTTGTTAATGTCATCAATCTTCTTTTTGCTTTAGCCGCACATGCAATATTTAACAGCCTTAGATGTCCGCCCATTTTCTATAAAAGTTCAGAAAGAGTGGTTTCAAAAATAGGCTGAGTTAAATGAACTTAAAATTGATGACTTTTTTTTTCATCAAAAATATTACCTCTCTTTCCAGGTTATTTTCAAATTCTTCTAGAAATCGAGTCATCGCAGGATCTCCTTCAAAGTCATTGAAGTGATTATTCACCCACAATAATACTACCCGTGTAACCTGAAAAATCAATGGTTTTAGCAGGTTTTCTTCTTTTTAGTGCTAAAAATCTGCAATTAAAGTCATTTCAAAAAAGATACTGAACAATTTACTTAATAACAATGGACAAAATAAACAACAAAAACCCTCACAGCAAGGATTTTATTCATAAGAAAATGACCTTCTGAGATTATGTATATTTATGAGTATAGACTTTTTGTTGTTTTGCTAAGAAGGATTTTGAATCTGTGAAAGATAGTAATTAACTTCTTCTATCTTGTTTACTCTCAAAATATATTTGAAACAGGTCATAATAAAAACAAAGCTATAATAAAACCAAAATAAATTAATATAAGACAAAAGAAGACAGAAACTAAAACATAACAGTAGAGGGCAGAAGAGACAAAAGGAATGAATAATATTAAGCCTAGAAAGATCTATAAGGGAAAAAGTTATAAAAAGAAAGGAGCTAGCTGGAAGTCATTGGGAATTACATCTTACTTGCTAACATTAAGATTCAGGAGGCTTTTAACACTGCCAATTCTTCAGGAAAAATGAGTAGACTTTTCTTAAACTGCACATGTGTTTTCACAGAGCCCTACACCTCCTTTATAAAGACCAACACACACACACACACACACACACACACACACACACACACGCATGCACACACAGTTACAGACTATTTGTGATGTACCCAGCAAGAGGATTGAGACATTCATTAGACTATAAGTTCCATGTGCACAACTTTATCTGTTATGTTCTCAGGACATCCTTAAGACTTATTACAAGTCTTAGCATAAAGTGAATTCTCAACAAAATCTTACTAAATGGAGTATAACTGAAACTTTATAAAAGTACTTGTTTTATTTATGAGTTTTATTTTCTAAATTTTAAATAACATACATTTTCCATAGATTTTTTTTTTCAAACATCTTAACCTCTAATCAAACCATCTCCCCTTTTAATCAAAGCGAGAAAATTAAGCACATTATTCTAGCAGTAGAGAAACAAAGGTGATGGTATATAGTTAATTTTTAACTACAGTTAAATACTGTTTATAGTTAGTATACACTCAGGAGTCAAGCCTTGATATTTATATTAATTTTTGGTCATTTACGATCACTATTGTCCATTTTTCAAATTTTGGAAACCCTGATCACATCTCCCTTGAAACCATATCTAACACCAACCTTTTAATAAAATTAAAATTCTGCAGCTGAGAAGCCAAGTTAAAAGTCTTACTAGCCTATTACAGGTTAGAAAACTAAGATTCAGGGGCATCTGGGTGGCTCAGTTGGTTAAGGATCCGACTTCGGCTCAGGTCATGATCTCACAGTTCGTGAGTTTGAGCCCCACGTTGGGCTCTCTGCTGTCAGTGCAAAGCCCACTTCAAATCCTGTCTCCCTCTCTTTGCCCCTCCCCTGCTTGCTCACTTGCTCTCAAAAATAAACATTAAAAGAAAAGAAAAGAGATTCATAAATCATAAATTGAATATTACCAACTTCCACCACCAACAAACAATTTTTAAAACGTATGATGTATTTTAATACATATTAAGTGTACTGAGCCAGGTACTACATAAAGAACTTCACTTCTATTATTCATGTTCACAATAACCCCTAAAAGATGTCGATTATTCATTTTACAAGTCAATAAATGACTGGCAGGAGGGTCAGATGACACCTAAGGTACATGGCAAAGGCAATACTCAAACCAAGTTTTGATGGCTGGAGAGCCTGGCTGAACAAGCCTAGGCTTGTGACTCGCAGAACATGAAATGAAAAGCATTGCTGTCCAAATGATTTCTCTAAGACCACAGAGCTAGCTAGGGGCAGGACCAGCAGTAGAGCTTGGGGGCTTTTCACTGTTGGTCTACTGTTCTGGATTTTCCTACCTGCCTTCCCATGTCTGCCTTATGTAAATCAGACTGTCACATGAGGAAAGGAGAAATGAGTATAGGCTATGATTAACTCTTACACCTCAAAAGGTATGTAGTTTATCATCCAATCTGGCCTTGAAAGAGCTCTCAAGAGCCGCTAAAGAAGTCTGTTTAGAATTATATTACTGGGGCCTACAGACCAGCAACACGTACAATAAAATGCTGCTCTGGTGCCAATTTAAAAATTGTAACTTTCATCTGGAATACACTGACCATTTGCCCAACAGAGGATGCGGATTCCAATGGAATTCAGGTGTCTCACTTTTTTTTTTTTTTTTTGCTTAAAAAGAGCATTCTCTTTTTCCATTAAGAATAACTTGAGGGGTGCCTGGGTGGCTCCGTCAGTGAAGTGTCTGACTTTTGATATTGGCTCAGGTTATGATCTCACAGTCGTGAGATGAAGCCCCAGGTCGGGCTCTGCGCTGAGCGTGGAGCCTGGTTGGGTCTGTCTGTCTGTCTCTCTGTCTCTGTCTCTGTCTCTCTCTCTCTCCTTGCCCCCCTCCCTCACGCATACTCTCTCAGTCTCTCTCTCTCAAAATAAACATTAAAAACTAATTTGAACATAACTGGTGTGACAAATATATATATTAAACTATCTTTAAGGTTATATCTGAACATTTCACATTTAAAAGCCAAACTACAATATATTTTCCAACCTTATCCCTGAGGCTCGGGTCATTAAACCACTCCAATAACTTTTTGCCCACTTCCATTGGGCTAGAAAGAAAAGTCCTGTAGGTCAACAGGAAGTCTTCTATGAATGTTGGATCCACCACTGAATGCTCTTCCACCAAATGCATCGTTAATCTTTCTGAGGTGCCCTGTAACAAAAGGTTTAATCACTATCTTGTACAAATAATATCTATATGGTACCATAATTCCACGTTTTCAACATAAGATGAACTGGGTAGTAATATATATAATAATTTATCAAACTGCTGTTCATCAGGAAGTATAAAGATATTTTTAACAGCTGGTAACTTTTAAGAGAAATCATACGTAAAAATGGGGGGAGGGATCTTAAGTTCTCATAACTAATGGATACTACAAAAAAAAAAAAAAAAAAAAAAAAAAAAAAAAAAAAAATCCTTCCCACAAGATGGAGGCAAGTTTATCTTACCTTAATGACGATGTGTCCCTTTCTTGTTCCGGTCCTATCAAGTTCTCGGTGTTCTTTTACCATAACAATTTCTCCTTCCTCCTCAACTTTTTGCATGTTCTTTTCTACTTGGTTGAGAATACGGCAGTAATCTTGCTGGGCTATGCAGACAAACTGGAACAAAATGTAAGTCACATGTTAATGATAAAGTGCTTGCAAGAGATCTAGCAGTACTAATAATTCAGTGTTTTAATTATTTAACACTGACATTTTTCCATGTCTTTCCCATACTCTCTAAATGAATGCAGTAATGAACCTTAATCTGACTTCTCTACTCTTTAATGTATTTCTTCTTTGGTCAAATCAAGTTTCATTTTTATCATATTTATATGTAGTTTATATTAAAAATCCTAACCATTTTAAAAATCAGAAGATAAAATTAAAAGAGTCCTTTTTCATGCCTCTTCTTTGAAGGTGGGATCTTAGGAGGATAAATATAAAAACATAATTACCACTTAGTAGGCTTTACAAGTTAGAAAAGATTTTAAAAGCAACAATTTTAAAATAAAAACGAAAAAAAAGATCAAAATTCAAAGATACCCATGGAATAGATATTGTACATCTGCTAATTATATTGATAAGAAATCAGTTTAGAAAGTTCATTCAAAAAAGGTCCACAAAACAAGCCACCTCCTTGTTAAACTCAAGTCATATTCCTTGTAACTAGTATTAAGGGCAATCCTTGCTCTTAAACAAAAAGTTAAAAATAATATGCATGGCAAGCCATTACTCCTCTGTGACCCCAAATATAAAAAATATTAGGGCTTAGGGCAAACCGCTAAATTACATTTCTTAGTAATTTAAAAAGAAAGTGAAAAATGAATTAAAGCACTTATTACACAAATTAACCAGAAGTCAGTGAGGAGGAGACACGAGTTAGAGTATTTACAGTTTTGACTTAATGTTCATGATAGTATATTTTTTTAAAAGATGGAAAACCAAACGTAATAATAATTATCATGAATATGACACCATCATCATTTTGTGGTGGCCTTATAGGAACTCTCCATTCACCTTCCTGGTCATCCCATAAAGAAGGTCCTACTATTGTCCCCATTGTACAAACAAAGAAACAGCTGTACCAACAGCATGATGATTTGCCCAATGTTTCATAATTACATGCTTGCTAATTAAAAAAAAAAATTTTCATGCACATCAAAATCTGGGAATAAAATAGAGCAGTATGTTAATAATTATTATTTCTGAATAATGCAAATTACAAGTGACTCATTTTATTTAATAAATTTTCTATATTTTCCATACTTTCCATACAATCAGTAAAGTTTTTTAAAAGAATAGCAGTGCTTCATACCTGAGCAATAGCTTATTACAATATTGTTTCTTCCAGAGCTGGTTGATAAAATCTCATTAATTTTTCTATTGGAATCATAAAGTTAAAATTCAAAAGGCATAGGCTTTTCTTATGATTACATATAGTTAAAAAATTTTTTTTTAATTTAAAAACACAGTCCATTTCTATAACACTGACCACAGGTGTATACACGTTTTGAAATCTGTGGTCCTTAGTTCCTTGTCTCAAAAATAGTTTATTTTTTTTCTTTTTACAGGGCACCAAAATTGCTCTGTCTCCAAATAATTTTAGGCGATCTTTCTTACACTTGTTTAGAGAACACAATTATATCATTTTCTCATTTATCTCCTAAAAAAGAAATACATTCCATAAGTTAAAAGGAGTAAGTAGATAGAGAAAAGAAAATGCTCTTAGGGGCACCTGGGTGGCTCAGTCAGTTAAGTGTCCAACTTGGGGTCAGGTCATGGTCACACGGTTCATTGGTTCAAGCCCGAAGTCAGGCTGTGTGCTGACAGCTCGGAGCCTGGAGCCTGCTTCAGATTCTGTGTCTCCCTCTCACTCTGCCCCTCCCCGACTTGTGCTCTCTCTCTCAAAAATAAATAATAAACATTAAAAAAGAAAGAAAATGATTTTAGAAGAGAAATGTACTAAAATTAATCTTGACTGAAGGTTTAAGGAAATTAGAATAAGTTTGATTTGGAATTCTTAAAGCCTAGACTTTTTTTTAATGTTTTTTTGTTTGTTTGTTTGTCTGTTTTTGTGAGAGAGAGAGAGAGACAGAGTAGTGAGCAGGAGAAGGGCAGCAAGAGAGGGAGACACAGAATCTGAAGCAGGCTCCAGGCTTTGATATGTCAGCACAGAGCCCAACGGGGGGGCTTGAACCCATGAGCCATGATAACATGACCTGAGTCAAAGTCCAACGAATGCTTAACCCCCTGAGCCATCTAGGCACCCCCTTGAGAGATATTTTTGTCACTTCTGTACCAAACTGAAGTACCATCCAAAAAGAAAATAAAACCCAACTGAATTTCTAATATGGACATACATATCTAAAAAGAAATAAATAATAGGTAAAAACATTTATCTGTATTTTTATTAGCAGATTTATTTTTGCTTTAAGAAGTCTGAAGATATAATAAGAAATTCATACGCAAGACATAATTTTAATTGGTATGATGAAGCCAGCTGAAAAATTGTGAACTATGTACATAATTATTTTGATGAGGTTTTATACTTTTAAATAGCTGTAAGCATATGAAAGTAATGTAAACCTTGGCATTCTGATATAAAATAAAAATGCAAACAAGATTTGGCTTACAAAAGGCCAAAGGCAGCTTACATTGCAGGATTGTTTTTTGGGCACATGACATCACAACTGATATTTAGTAGAAAAATTATAATAGACGATAAAAGGATGAAGTAAAATTAAACGTCAACCATAATACAGTATTGTCAACTTTCCCATGTAACTGCTTTCTCCAAAACTACTTAAATTCAGTGTCATTAGCTCCCATGGTCTCTGGAAAAGGGGAGTCTAACAGGTTTACCTTAAGAAGTTAGAGCTATTTAAACTGGCATCTTGTGGTCTGTAAGGGAAATTCATGCCTAATTGTTCACACAGGGATTCCAGGGTTCGTTCCCCATTGAGGGTGTAGGGTAAGGCTAAGCAAAGCCTGATGTGTTACTGGCAGGCCTAAGACACAGGCGGTAGTGAAGAAAAAGGGGAGAAGGAAAAGAAGAGTGGGAGAGAAGAGCAGGAATGGAAAAGAGGGATAGAAGTGGGAAGGAGAAAAGAAGGAGGCACATATGGGAAACGGAAAACCATTACCAATTGCCTGGTACCATAGGGTGTCTATATCTAGCCCTGCCTCTGTCTTTCAAAGCGAACAGAGGAACAAGCACAAACAATGAAAGGAGAGACCTGAAAGAGGAACACACAAAGTAGGGATCCAAAGCAAAATAGAACTTTGAGCATATCATGGGATCCAAACAAACAGAAATAAACGTTAAATATAATCCACTCATTGTGGATCAGGTTTACTATGAGCTCAACTAAATATCACATTATTCAGTATTTACTTTTGGAACCCACTGGACTATAAGAAAATTAAGGCCAGTCCTAGGCGAAGTTGCCTCTTCTTGGTAAGGAGAACAGCATTTTTGTTCATCTCATTTAATAACTGTTAAATGCCTACAAGGTGCTCAGTAGAATGATAAAAACTTATGGAGGCCATCTTATGGATGAATGAAAATATGATTCTCATTGTTTCCTTTACTTCCCCTAACAAGAGGATGATCTAACATTTGTAGATAACTTACTGACAGATATGACATTTTAACAGAAATACACTAAAATACTACACCAACACAAGCGTTACATTAAGTCTAACTTCATTCTCCAACCTTGTTCTCCTACTGAGGGAACGAATGTCAGGCCTGAGCAGATGAGTCAGTGCAGGTACAAGAGTGATTCTTGAAGCCCCTTATTTAAGATCTTCCTTTTACAGTGGCTTAGACTGGAGTGGAGAGAAGAGACTTTTCTCGGGTTTCTCACCAATTCCTCATCTAGTAAATAGAGTAGACTCTCTTCCCTGACATCTTCTTTCTCTTCTTTTCCCAGAATTCCGAAATAAATATTTAATGTTACCTGGTACATCTGATATTACTTAAGTACTCTGTAATATTCAGTCATATAGCATTTTTAGCAATTATTCTGAAATATGTCTATGCCTGTAATATCACTTTAGTTCCATGATTACAAATTTCTAACAAAAGGGGCTGGTCAATTAAGAGGTATTAATGTAATCGATGAATTCTCAGAAATAAAATAACTTTTTAACTTGCCCTTTAAGGGTACAGACTCTGACTAAAATGCTCTAGTAATGCCAATATGTGCCAGGGAGGAACTGATAACAGATAATAGGATAGGGAAACCTTTAACAAATTCCTAGTTTGTTTTGGACCAAGTATGGCTTTATTATATTTTGTTGGAGTACAGTTCCAAAGCTGAAACATCATCTATAATCTCTTTTACAAACACATTTCTAGGTCAAATAAAGACTCCGAGATTTACCTACCATTTTGTTTTCTTCTATTATGCCAAATAATTGAGACTTGACTATATTTAGAATGTTCTTCTGGCATTACTATTCAAAACAATGAATTCACAACCATTTATTTTTTCTCTACAGTGCTTACTGAAGGAATTACTTGGCAACATTACTTTTGGCAACATCATTCTCTAGGTAAGATAATTGTATTTGTAGGGGCGCCTGGGTGGCTTAGTCGGTTAAGCGTCTGACTTTGGCTCAGGTCATGATCTCCCGGCTCATGAGGTCAAGCCCTGTGTTGGGCTCTGTGCTGACAGCTAAGAGCCTGGAGCCTGCTTCAGATTCTGTGTCTCCCTCCCTCTCTGCCCCTTCCCCCACTTGTGCTCTGTCTCTCTCTCTCTCAAAAATAAATAAATATTAAAAAAAAATTTATTTATATCCATGGTCATTTTCTCTTTTAGTAAGTAAAGTGCTTAAAATGAAAATTTAAAAGAGTATTATTTTACATTTATCAGACACTATAAAAATTCAATGATGTTCTTTTAGAACAAAGTATATTCAGATGTATTTCAGACTACAGACCATTAAATACAGTGGGCACTTACCATTAATTGGTCTAAGTCAAATCTTTTGGTTTATTTACATTAAAACATTTTATCTTTCAAAGACTTTTTTTCAGAAGAGAAGACATAAATTTTATACACTTGATAACACAAGTATCTTAAATTTATTTCTCAATAATACAGAGGTTATCAGCTATAATCAATCTAACTAAATTTCACATTTGGTCTCCACATTTTCTCTAGTCTTTTATTAAATGCTTTTATTTATTTATTGTTTAGTGTTTGTTTATTTTTGAGAGAGAAGAGATACAGTGTGAGCAGAAGAGGGGCAGAGAGAGAGGGAGGCACAGAATCCACAGCAGGCTCCAGGCTCTGAGCTGTCAGCACGGAGCCCGATGCGGGGCTCGAACCCACAAACCGCAAGATCTTGACCTGAGCCAAAGTTGGACGCCCAACCAAATGAGCCACCCAGGTGCACATAAATGCTTTTAAATAATGATTATTAACACAATATCAACACTAACATTTTTCTTTTGCTATCATGTATTTTCTTTTAATCAGTAATTACTTTTTTACCAAGAAGTCCTTCTACTGATTCATACTATGATTTTCAGGACTTTTATTGTTTTTAATTTTTTTTATGTTTATTTAGTTTTGAGAGAGAGTGAGAGAGGGTGTGAGCGAGGGAGTGGCAGAGAGAGAGGGAGACACAGAATCCAAAGCAGTCTTCAGGTTCTGAGCTGTCAGCTCAGGGCCCAATGCGGGGCACGAACTCACGAGCCACAAGATCATGACTTGAGCTGAAGTTGGATGCTTAACCAACTGAGCCACCCAGCCGTTCCTGATTTTCATGACTTTTAAATCAATTCCTTATCTTTATTTAAATATGTATTTAAATAAAAACACTGTACAACTATATCACATCATCTTTATTAATCTATTTCTTTTCATAATGGGTGTTTTACTTCTATATTTTTTGATGAACAGATTATCAAACTATTATTAATGGAAATTTTAAAATGCCATATTTACAGAACACTTTTTTAAATAAAACATATTTACAGAACACCTAGTTATGTGGAGTCCAAACAACTTTATTATTATTTTTTTAAGTATGCTTTATACCAAATGTGGGGCCTGAACTCATGACCCTGAGATCAAGAGTTGTATTCTCTACTGACCAAGCCAGCCAGGTGCCCCAAGTCCAAACAACTTTAAGGAAGATTTATTTTTAATTTCCTAGGGTGTGATAACATTCTACTTTAAAATCATATTTAAAATTCTAAAAGATGACCTATTTATGTAGGCAGAAAAATCTTACCCCAACTGTATAGACGTGTTAAGCATAAAATATACATATACATTTTTAATGATATTTTATACCTGGCAGTCATCCACCTTTGTTCTCATTACTCCTTTCATGTATTCTTTGTCCATGGTAGGAGAGACACCAAAACTATTTCCCATACATAATATTTCTGCTTTTCCATCTGGATAAGTTACTTCCACAGAACCATTCAGAATCACTGACCAGGAATCCAGCTAATTCAAAAAAATGAAGACAAAGCAGAAAATTATGGTCATGCAGCTGTAAATGCTAGAATGGTCTCTACAAATGATTTAGCAGATTTTTCATTTTGAAGATGGAATAACTCAAGTGAAGTTAACTGTTTACTAAATCGAAAGAACAAGGAATAAAGCAAAGCACAGCCATGGATCTATGTATTTCCTCATGCCCAGCTAGGGGTACATGTCATTCCACTCTTTTAATTTGACTTTGGGCATTCTTCTCTAAAATGACACAAGGAAAAAGAATTCTTCTGTTCCCCCAAACATATGTAAGCAATATAAAATGATCACCACTGCCTCAATAAGAATATCATTGTGTTCTGACAAAAGGCATACAATGAACATTTAAAGTTATAAAAATCTGAGAAGTTAATATATCAAAGTATTTCTATCAGTAGCATATGAAATATTATAAAAAATAAAAATATTAGATTTGAAATATTTTGACATAACAATCAGTGTATCATAATTCTTAAATTATTCAAACTAATTGTTGCTCATTGTTTTTTAAGAGGAAAAAATAAGAATTGGTTTTTTGTTCACTTGCTGTACTAAGAGACCCTCAAACAGAAATTTCATGACAGAAATGTTCACTAACCTCTTCACCATCATTTAGCACTATGGTCCCAGCTCTTTCCACGACTGCAAACACCATAACAGCACAAAGTTCTCGTCTCACTGACATAGTCATATTGGCAAAAGCAGGCAATTGGTGCATAAATTCTAAGAGTTGTTCTAAAAGGCAAAAGATATTGTAAACATTAATCAGCAATTACTTATTTATTTATCTGTTTAGTTTATTTATTTGAGAGACAGAGTGAGAGAGAGCAAGGGAGGGGCAATGAGAGAGAGAGAGAGGGAGACAGAGATTCCCAAGCAGACTCCACACTGTCAGCACAGAGCCTGATGTGGGGCTCAAACTCACGAACCGTGAGATCATGACGTGAGTTGAAACCAAGAGTCGGATGCTCACCCAACTGAGCCACCCAGGTTCCCCACTACAACTTTTTTTTTTTTTAACCCAAGCATTCAAAAATAATGCTCTAGGGTTCTTTCTTTTTAAATGTCCTACAAAACTGCCCACTGGAAAATATAATTACTTCAAATATTGTTAGTACAAAAGCTGAACTTCTTGCAGGTAAACGAAGAACTGTCACTGTGGAAGTGGTGACATTTACTTATTGATTTAGGAATGCTGGTATACACTGTGATTCAAATTCTAATGGGAATGAAGAAATTAATAAACTTCAAATGGAAAATTTCTATTGAAAATCAGCTGTAATCTTATTAAGGCTAATTAAAGGGTGAAATGATAAGCTGAAATGAAATAGAGGTCTGAGAATTCTCCAAAAAAAAATCAATAGGTCTATTCTAGTGCCTTCTGGGCAGGTAGACACCCCAAACAGCAGAAATAACCACTTTCAATCTAAAGATAGCCCATGATTTAGAAACCAAGGGATATTTTCTATGGATTAAGACAAATTTATAAAAATTAATCAATTAAAAATTGTATTATGCCAAGTGAAATGAGTCAGAGAAAGACAAATATATGATTTCATTAAATATGTGGAATTTAAGAAACAAAACATATGAACACAGGGGAAGGGAAAGAAAAATAAAGATAAAAATGGAGACAGATGTAAACCATAAGAGACTCTTAAATATAGAGAACAAACTGAGGGTTGCTGGGGGGCTGGGGGGGGGGGTTGGGGTTAAATGGGTAATGGGCATTAAGGAGGGCACTCGTTGGGATGAGCACTGGGTGTTATATGTAAGTGATGAAATCACTGGGTTCTACTGAATCCAACACCACACAGTATGTTAACTAACTTGAATTTAAATAAATAAAATTTAAAACGTTATATCACAAATACAAATGAAAATTGATATGTTATTTTTTTTATCCCACAGACTGGCCAAAACAGAGAAAAGTTTCAGTCTTCCTGTCGGCGACGCTGTGGAGAAACAGCTTAAACTTTGATACAGTTGTAGCTGTTGACAAGATGGATGACTTCACAGTCTTTTCTAGTCCTGTGGTCTCTATTTTTAATTTTTTTCTATTATTAGGTAGCTTTACTAATTACTAAGTTCTTTCCTTACTCCTCACTATGGCTCTATGAGGTGCATGTTTTCTTTCTCATTTCACAGGGAGAAAACAGGCTCAAAGTCATATAATTAGGAAGTGACAGTGATGATTCAGGACCGTCTGCCTCCAAACCTCCTGCTGGACATTATAGGTAATGATAAAAGAGCACAAGGTATATGTCAGACATCACTTGAATACTTATTAGTTATATTGCTTTGGGAAAGCTGATTAATTTACTTAAGGCATGTTTCCCTCATTTATGAAAGAACAATATAATACCTACCCTTTGTTGGACAGCTGTGACAAATACAATAGAGATAATAAAGTCCTTAGAGAGTAAATATTCAATAAATAAGAACAGCTATTATTGTCATTGTTATCATACTCATATCATTCAAATTTCTAAGTAAAAATTCTGCTATATTTTTCTTGTCCTCACGTAATGAAACTGTCCCTGTGTACATTCCATCTATCTGTTAGGATTTAGTGACACATTTATGTTATTGGAGATACAGTAGTTTGTTCACTGCAAAAACAACACAGAATAGAGTGATCTATTCTGTGAAAACATTACATTTATAGAAGGTCAGATGAAGTGTTTTTCTCGGGTCCAGATGGGTAATGTCTCTTCTGATTAGACCCTACGTCATCGCCCTGTAAAAGACTTTCATAACAGAGTGGCTTCGGAATCAGGAGAATAACACTGATAGGTGGTACCCAGGGACTCTGTCCAAGAAGACAGTGTTCTTCAACCTGACCCAGACTGATGTGCCAGGAAATCAATATACTGTTGCAACCAGCATTTTTTTTTTTTTTTTTTTTACAACCAGCATTTTAAAAACAAGAGAATCAAAGCACATAACTTATAGAATAAGTTCTGTTTAGTGAAACTTTTATTTCTGGAAGGAGTGGGTGTGTTTGGGTCATATAAATAAAATATATTTATTCCTTGGGACAGCAATAAACCAATTTTTAATACCACTGCAATTATCTACTATATATGGGAGGTAACAATCATTGTGTTACAAACACACTGACCTTTTGATCTGAAGCAAAAACACAAATGAAAAAGCTAGTATATCACTGTTAGTTCTGCAGTTATAAGCCTCTGTTTTCTTCACCTATTACTGCCCTACCCCTCACCATAAGGTAATAAAATATTACCTATAGAACACACATTTTGCTTTCTTCCCCCTCCTCCCCAATAATACTAAATTTCCTTGGACAAGTGAAGATTCATGGTCTTAAGAAGAATATGAGACCAGAAGTCAGAAATGTTTTAAATTCAACATAATATGACATAATAGACAATAAGTCAAATTATGACCACATATATGATTGAAGAATATGAGTATATGAAGTATAAAATATATTTACTAATACTTGCTATAATGATTTGAAGTGCCTTGCATAGACATTGTTCTTGCTTTTTGGAAGATTCCTGCTCCATTAATGGGTTATGAAATCAAGTTGTGATACAGGAGTAATGACTAAGATTTAAAAAAATATGATAGGATTGAAACTATTTGTGTATCACATATAATATGGATAAATAATAAAGAAGACAGAAAAGATCTGATGATAGTAATGTACATAATGCTCTAGGCTCAGCTGAAAAACTAAAAATAAATAAATGCTTAACCAGATGGTATCTAAGAGTTAAGTCTCCCAAAGATTCAACAATAGTGTTGCTGGTTTTGTAGTAACCTGTATTTATTACACTGGATAATTAGTGCAATTAAAACAATAAAGAATTTCTATCACTAATCTTCACAAAATAAATATAAAACAGGAGCATTTGGCTATAGGGGTTCAACATAAACTCTGGTAATGCCACAGGGATCATACAGAGTTCAAGCAGTTAGGGTTAGTCAAGAGTTCAGAGTCTGGAATGAGTAAAAGACAGTTCCTAGAACATGGCAAGAAGAAGCCATGGACTGAAGAAGCAGGACTACTTTCTTCTATGTTGCTTGGAAGAATCCATTAGAATAATACATTAATTAATAATATTTTATTTTGTTAGGAAAGGAATATTTCTGTTTATGAAAAAAGACCTTTTTTCCTTACTTAAAGTTTATTTTGAGGGACAGAGGGGCAAAGAGAGAATCCCAAGCAGACTCCCTGCTGACAGCACACGGATTGATCCCACAAACTCTGAGATCATGACCTGAACCGAAATCAAGAGTAAGATGCTCAACTGACCGAGCCACCCAGGCACCCTGAAAAAAGACATTTTTAAACACTTTTTTTCTAGTCAATGTGACACAAAGAAAGGCCAGATAATCAGCTTACAGACACCGCAAGCGATGTCAATATAAAAATTAGCTTATTTGCTTGGTTTAATTTTGTATAAAAATTGGTTACTATTAAGATGTTTTTGAAAAATCTGTGGAGTTTTGTTTTTGTTTTTGTTTGGTGCTATATTGAAGGGGAGAAAAAAGAACTCTTTGGAAGGGATCTTTGAAAAGTAGGTCTCTACCTTAATGTGTAAAGGCCTCAAAAAAGAAATTAAATTCACAACCATTCGATAACTGAGTACCTACAGAATTATGAGCTAGAGAGCAAAAAGGAATAAAGTCCTTTCCTTCAAAGTATTGAAACAAAGGTACACACACCCAAGAATCTATGGGAACCCCAAAGCAATTTTTTTAATTCTTGCAGCTTTTAAAATATGTTAGCAATTTCATTTGATTCAACTTTTATTCTGCCCACCCCCCTACCTCCCAACACACCATTCCTTCTCTATTTCATGGGGTTAGAGGAAGGTGGTTAGGAACAGAGGCATCCAGAGAGAGCATCATTTAGAAGTTTATAGTTTTTATGAAAGGTATCTGTTGTAACTAAATACTGGCAGATCAGTTAGATTGAACAAGAGTAACAGCAAAAAAGCTAAAAGTGCTCACATGTGGTTTTGTCTTGAGGAGAAAGAATGTAAGCTCTTCCAAGATCTCTTGTAGAGCAAACAACACTCATAAGGCTTTATCTTTAATAATAATGGTTTTATTATTTTAAATAAAAGTATATTTGATAGGAGCAAGCATCAGAATCATCTCTGCTTGCAAGTGAATTGGTATTCAAGTAAATGTTATTCACTGGAGGTTATATCAACAAGCACATTTAAAAAAAAAAAGATAGCTTTGTATTCTTTTGAAGGAATCAGCATAGCATTTGCTTTCCAGAAATTCTGGAAAAGATACCTTCTCAGATATGAAGTGAAAATCTTAAATTTCCAGGAATGACATGCTGTATGATTTTAATAATTATTTTCTTCTATAACTGTACTAAAATGAACATATTCAAAAAAGAAGATACATTAACTTACAAAAGAATAATTTCCACATCAATCTGTTCATAAGCAATGTTCAATCTTATTTAAAAATTTAAAAAAAAAAACAACCTATGAGCAAGGATTCTGGAGTAAGATGGCAAACTGAATACACTTCCAATTTCACTTTCTGTTTAAGGACATATTTAAAAAGAAGTCGACAAGGACAAAGAGAATGGGACAGTGTAATACAACTTTGGACACTGCAAATCAAATGAATGTGTATGTGGTATTAGACATAAGAAAGTGAAACCCAATGTTTTCAGTGGGTAAAATAGAACCACTCTAATTTATGCTGCAGAACCCTCAAGAGACTTGCAAACTGCCAGCACCTTTGGAACAGGAGTGCAGGTGGTAGAGAAGGAAATGGGCTGGAGTCAGGGATGGGTATCTGTGAAGCCTTTAAGTCCTTACTCCAGCAAAAATTATCCAGAAAGGGTTAACACAGAACACATTTCTTCACTGGGGGCCATAGGCATAGGTGGCTCCCCTTTGCACTTCCTTCATGTCTGAGCCCTTTAAAAGGACATTACCAGCCATTTCCTCCTAAAATAGGCTCCATTCTGTTCATTCCTCAACCTCCATCACTCCCTAATCCCCACTTTATTCTTCAGACTGAAAGAGAGCAAGGATCTTACCTGCCTGTTCCCCTCTGAGTTGCCAGGACTTAAAAAAATGTTCAGTACATAGAAGGTGCTCAATCACATTAGCTGCATGAATGAATGGTTACCAACATGGTATATTCATCTATAAATACTTACCAATTCTATAAATTTTAAATTTGTATTTTAAATATCTAATACAAGTTGTTGGTTTTTCATCCTTAATTTTCTAGCGTATGTATATAGAGTAGGTGGTAAAAGATTTTCTTCATCATGTTTGTTTCCTTCACAACACATGCAACCAGCCACTTATAACTATGCCCATACTGTCCTATATCTAATCCCAATAGAGCAAGTTCCTTGAATTTGTCTGCAAATATATATCAGCCAAAAAGAGTTGGGAGAGTGGTAGGACAGATTATCTGGGCTCAGGCAAGGGTGCTTACAGATTCCAGACCTGTGGTGGACACAAGGCACTCTACAGAAGTTGCCCTGACTCCTAGCATTTGAAGGAAGAAGCCTGAGTGCAGAAGGCGTACCTGAACACTAAACCATTATTACACAGTCATCTCTTATTCTGTTGGGAAAGTGGGTAACGGAAACTTCAAGGATGGGGAAAACAGATACAAAGCCACTTGGATTTCTAACCTTAGGATGCACTTAAAGAAAGTCTAAA